TAAGAATAGATAATTTTCATTATCTGATACAATAATTAAAATGAAAGCATTCTTACCTCATCCTCATCTACGCTGGGAGCTTGGTTATTCATTTCGTGTAAAGCTTGCCACATCTTATGAGCGGCATGCCTTTTAGCGACTTTTTTACTTTTGCCTTGACCGACTTCGCGATATTTTAGGATTGAACAAACAATAGTAAATTGTCGCTCATGAGGCAAGCCTTCTTCACCCTCCATCGAATATTTTGGTGGTGGCCAGTGGCGCGACATACACATTTCTTGTAAGGCTCCAATTGGATTGTTTACTATTTTCTCTTCTCCATATGTCTGCAGTTCTTGTAAATTTTGTGAGCTACATAAAAATATACATAAAATTATTTTATCCTGCATATATTCTTGCTTACAATTTTAATTCTCCTGTAATCATATTTTTATTTTCTCCATCTGGGTGTGTGTGTGTGTGTGTGTATTTCAACTCAAATTTTAAAATCTTTACTTAAAACAAAACTCAAAATTTAAACAATGAGAAAAAAAATGTTTAAAAATATACAACTTAGCAATAAGGGAACTAGATTTTGCTCTCCTTTATTTCAGAGGAGAATGAAATTTCACCAATCCCAAAAAAGATCCAGATTACAGGAAGGATAAGTATGATGTTAAGCGCAATTCATGCTTACTCGGGTAAACTATTTGGAATTGGCGATTCTACACCATCGGTGTTCACTCCAATTAATTTATCCAACACAGCTTTTGCAGCAGCATGTTTAGCTTCTTTCTTGGCCCTGCCGGTCCCCATTGCTGAAACAATTGGGTCTGTTTCTGAATAGTTATGTACTTATCAATCAACAATACATTGTTATGCATGATAATACATGCACAATGAATTTATACAAACCAACGACATCAGTAACAGTGACTCTGTATCGAAACGTAGGCTCGTGAATAGCTCCCTCGATTTGGACGAGTTCATACTTAGGTATTGTGCCTCTACGGGAAAGCAATTCCTGAAGAACAGAGACAGGTGTTTTGCTGGGTAACGACTTCATTTCCAAACGTGCCGCCTCGTGTAATGGAAGTTTCTCTAACATCATGGCATGTAATGTTACACGAACTCTATTACGACGATTGACATTATTAGAATGATTAGGAACGCCACCCACACCAGGCATCATGTTAGTAGGCCCGACCTGCGGTGGTTGATGCATTTCCTCCATTGTTGTGTTCTGAAAATCATATGTTATGAAGTCGTAACCTTCCTCCAAAGTCAGAGTAACTGATGATACACAAGGCTCAAGTCATGATGTAAAAAATAGAATTTAACGACATTCCCCCTCTCATCACTCTATTTACTTAGCAAGTTTGCTTTCCAACAAGCAACACAGTGGTCATGTCATCTTTGTTTAACATTGGCAAACAACAAGGATATAATGATCCATTGTGTTACACTGTGTCATTTGAGTCACTTATTGGAAGGCACACATAATGTCTATTTCTACCAATGTGGATAATTTGAATCTTGATTTAACTGACTTTATATATTTCTCTAATTCTAAGAATTAGAGAGAAAGAGATGAAGAGTTATTGGCAGAAACAGGTAACACAAAAATAACATTTAAGAGTTTTAAAACAAAACATATTTCGTATCCTTACATCTGTATTCATCTTAGCGAACAACGACGATGCATGTAGGAGTCAATTAGTGTCCTCGTGCGCCCTTTACGATTTCGTCCTCTTCTATCTCGCTATAAATATCGAAATCGCGATGATTACTCCGGATTTACTCTGAATTTCCGGTCGCCACGATGCGGCAATTAATACATCGTCATTAATCCGCGATCGGTTATTCCGACGAATGAAAGAGTCGGCATGCAGTGTGCGCGTGTAAAACGTGTTGGAATCGCGTCTTGTCGACGCGATCAACGATGTTTCGAGACCGCGAGGAAGACCGGCATGGCCGCCATGATTGTTATAAAACTCATCGATTGACCGTAACGGAAATACGCGTGGGATATGCCGAGGATAGGGTGTCGTCGCGCGTGGTATGCACGTAGAACGTGAACGCGGCGTTGTCTCGCGGCTCTCAGCGACGTTGACGACGGCAGGATTTTCAGAAAAACAGCCGTCGCCGACGCCGACCGGTTGCCACGCGTATATATGCGTACATATACATATATACGTTATCGTCCGCTACACCGCGGCGGTTCGATCTCACGACGGGCCCAAAGTCACCGGGGGGACAAACACGCGTCCTTCGCACTTACGATTTTCGGGGAGACGTAGCTTCGTGGAAAAAATGATGTGCCGGCTTCTCGTCAGGCCAATTCCTATGCGAAAAGCGAATCCCGCTTTTTGTGATCGATCCAAGTCTCACAAAAAGCTTGATCCGTTTGACGACAGAAAAATGGTTCACTGGTTAGCGGAGAATCCCTTCCTCGTTCGTAGCTCTACGATATCTGTGGGGGTGCCCATCCATCATGCCCATGACCCATGACCGTGTATGTGTGCATGCGCCGCCAATATGTTTCTGAAACTCGTGCGCATCTTCCGTCTGCGCAGACGCGTACCTGCGTTACCGTTGCTCGATAATGCAGTCGCTCGATTCGGTCGGTAAATGTGTATCATTTGGACGGTCGTAATCTCAATTGGCGAACGTCGTAATGCGATGACCAATCACTCGCCAAGAGATCTGTTTACGTTACTTTTGCACTTTTTGCACTAAGGTCGGAATCAAACCAGAGGTCTTATTCTTGAACACAAATAAATAATTTTTGCATATAAAAATGACAGTTCCTCGATTGTGATTGGTCGATTGTATCCGAAATTGCTACTTTACGTATGCGATATTTGTTCAAGAAAAGTGCCCCAGAATCGAAAGCGTTTATATTGCCGTAACCGTATTTCGTAATCTGTAAAAATTGACCAATCACCTTTAAGTATTCTCTTCTTACTGTCAAATGAGAGGAAAATACTTGACTGTGATTAGTCAATTTTCCTACACTTCGACCCAACTGTAACCCACTGTAACCCTCAGTGGAAATTTAGGCTGGCATGGAGCGGAAATTTACAGCGGAACGGAACAGCGCGACCAATCACAACTCTGCAGTCTTATTCTGCTTTCTTTTCTGCGATTGTAATTGGTCTTGCTGTTTCGTTTCGTAAATTTTTAAGCCTGATGTCCACGATGCTAAAAATCGATCCGAGATCTCGGACAAAAAAAAATTAACAAATCACATTTGAACAATTTGATCACATGACCTTTGCGATTAGTCAATTCTTTCTTCATCCGAGATCTCGGACCGATTTCTAGCATCGTAGACACAAGACTTTAGGGTGCGATCCACGCTGCAAATTCTTTGAAACATTCTTTGATTGGTCAACGAAGTATTTACAACGTTAAACCGGTTCTACATTAGTTGCAAGCCGATTGCAAATTTCTTGCGACAGCCAATCTGAAGCTCGTCTTTTGAAATCAACGCTTCACATTGGCTGTCGCAACAAACTTGCGATCAGCTTGCAACTAATGTAGAACCGGTTTTAATCACCCCCTTTAACGAAGCGATTTTTATAGTGGCATAAAAAATATTTTTTATAGCATTGCCCGTATCGTTCAGCTGATTGATTGCTGCTTCCGTTTCTTGACGCTTGCATGTGAATATATCTTTAGTCAGTCTATTTTTTATTTCAAGCATCTAATGAAAGCTAGCGTTTTACTCCTATTTTATTAATTTTCGTAATTTATTGATACAAGATTATAACCACATAATTTTTATTTGTGAATAAGTATTTGAAATATAATGGCTGATAAATTTTTGACGACAGAAAATACAAACGAGATAAGTATATTTAAATAAATAATGATATTAATAAAGATGTAAAAAATATTTTTATTATGTCATTATTGATATTTATTATATTATATTGTATTATTTTATATTTTTTGTAGGAAATTTTGTAGGAAAAACTATTAAAAATCCTATACTTATGGCGTGTGCGAGACAATTTGTTTCCAAAATGAAATATATTGTATTATTATCCTAGCTTGTGTGGAGGGATATAATAGAATTTATATTAACAAAAATTTTTTTTTACCCAGAATGTGATAAGTATTACTAATATTTTTTTATTTTGTAATGTTGTAACGCGTTAATATTATGTGTAAAATAGAAAATAGAAAATAGAAAATAGAAACAAATATGCAAGAGTTTGGTGGATAATGTAGAAATTATATGATAGAGACCACTCAAAAGATTCCGAAATGATTCATCACGGGACCAAAAGTCCCGTGATGATTAAAGAAGTAAAAAAATTGCAGAAGAGGAACAGTTCATCAAAGAGGTTTGTAAGCGTCATAGAATTTTAAGCTTCCTCTGGCTGAACGGAACTTAAATTAAAAGTAAAAAGCTGTGGAAAGAAATATTGACATCATGTAATAACATTCTATGTATATTTCACTATCTTGCTTGATGTCATCGTTATATAAAAACATCTTTATGGCCAGTATTTATAGGCTATTCTTATTTCAAGACAATAAGACTGGTTTATGGCTCCGTACACAAAACACGGCAATACTTTCCACGCAGCAAAAGTAGATTTAGTCAAGAGAGGTCTATTTGAAATCCCTCAAAATCTTTACACTTAGAACAAGATGAATGTATATATTCGGCTGTTGAAAAAAGAAAATGCAAAGATACTGAGTACAATGAACATTGCAACTACTTATAAAAAAAAATGGAAATCGCTATGTAATTTTCATTTAGATGTATAAAAATAAACACAATCTACCAAGTGGCTCAATGGGGACTTCAAGAAAAAACAACCAGGTGCACTTCGAACAGATGTAGTTCCTTTGACATGCAGCTAGAAATTGAGTATATAAGTATCCAACTATATAGGTAAATCACAAATGGCGTGAAGATGATTGAGAAAAACAATTTTTCGAACATAATTGGAGAAATATTGTTTTTGTCAAATCGCATGAACATACAGTTTTAATGGGTTTAATTGATAAGCGAATGGTACATAAGAAGAGAATGTGCATCGACGCGTCTACATCATTGCTACTTTAATGGCGCCACTTTTTTTTTTCTCTATGCGTCACTCAGCTCGGATTCAGTTTGGACTCGCGTTGTCTGACGTTCCGTATGTGAATTATCGCGGGCCGTTTACACTCGAGTGACATTATTTAACAATAAATAAACGAAATCATTTACGAGAAAAGTGGAAATATGGGCCGCTATAGGAGGTAATACTAATAATACAGCATTTGTATACGCGAAATGGAATGAAGGGGTTGTTGGGAGCGCTACGTATTATATCCGTCGATGGAAACCACTTGCGGCGTCAAAAGCTTGTCCTGCCACAAAAATCAAATTTTCTTCGATATTTTTATAATTTTTCATATAATACAAACATTCTGTATAATGATTATGTTTGATATATATAATCTATACATATGAGTTACAAGTGAATGTCTTGACTCTTTGATCAAATGAATTTCGCACACTTTGTATAAAAATATATATTTTAGGGAGGATCCCGTTTGTCTACAATCTCGATTGCACATCCTATTCATATCAGTTGATGCCTAGTAATTTTTCATTACATTACTCAATGAGAATATTTTGTTTTTAAATTAGCGATGCATGTGTGAGACCTTTCCATATTTTATATATGTATTTATATAAAATATATTATATATTTTATATTGTACTATGATTTCTCTAAACGACATGAATTGGAACTTCAATATCTAATCATACATGCAACTTATTTCAGTCGCAGTCGTGAAAGGGACAGACGACGCAGATCACGCACTCGTTCGCGGAGTAGATCTCCACGTGACAGGAGGAGCTGGGGTGGCAGTGGTGGACGAGATAGACCCTCCAGTAGTCGCAACAGTCGTGGACAGCCAGGTGCGAATCTAAGGAAACCACGATGGGATCTCAACCGTCTAGAGCCCTTCAAGAAGGATTTCTATGTTCCTCACAATGCGGTGCAAAATCGGGATCCCCGGATCGTCGAACAATACAGGGCCGAGAAAGAAATTACTCTTAGAGGCAAAAACATTCCGAATCCTGTTTTTGACTTCGACGAGGCAGGTTTCCCAGATTACGTTCTAAGAGAGATCAAGTAAGTAGTGAATGTTATGAAAGATAAGTTTTGATATCTTGTAATTTATGTTAATAAGTCTAAGTTATCTCCATTTATTTATACTATAATTTAGGATGATTCTATAACAAGAGGAGACTCCAGAGTGACTCTTACAGATTTCAATGAAACTTGACAGGATAATGAATATGATCTCATACAATCTCATACAGCACAGAATTTACAGCATCGCTGTAAAATCTCTGCAATATTGTACAAAAGTTGCAATAATACACTGTTGCAATATTGCAGAGATTTTGCAGCGATATTGTTGCAAATTCTATGCTGCATAGAGAGGTTGTTATCATATCCACTATGCTACGAATATTGAATATAAACATTCTAATAAACTCTAAAGGAAATGCTGTTATCAATTTTAATATTGAAATATTTCGAAACGATAGACCGTTTACACCCTGGGGGATGATTTTTATTCAAGGGAACACACTCTATAATCCTGACAAGTTATTATTGTACAAGGTATAAGTTTTTATTGAAATCGGCAAAGGTCGCTTTGGAGTCTCCCTTTTTGTAAGCTATTTCCATTTATTCATCTTATAATTTATGATCAAGATTTTAAATATCTCCATTTAACTAATAATTTCTAATTACAATTTTAAACTATCTCTATTTATCCATTTTATAATCATAATTTATTAATCTTATAATTTTATAATCATAATTCTAAGCTGTTTATGTTTTGTCTTATAGAAGACAAGGTTTTAGTGAACCTACATCGATCCAAGCACAAGGATGGCCGATCGCATTAAGTGGACGGGACATGGTAGGCATTGCATCTACAGGATCTGGGAAAACATTATCTTATATACTGCCTGCAATAGTTCACATCAACAGCCAGCCGAAATTAAGTCGCAAAGATGGACCTATTGCTTTAGTATTGGCGCCTACACGAGAGCTTGCCCAACAGATTCAGCAGGTCGCTGATGATTTTGGACATTCATCAGGCATTAGGAACACTTGCCTATACGGTGGAGCGCCGAAAGGTGCTCAAGCCAGAGATCTGGACGGAGGTGTAGAAATAGTCATAGCTACACCTGGTAGATTGCTGGATTTTCTTGAGTCCGGCAAGACAAATCTGAAAAGATGTACATATTTGGTATTAGACGAAGCTGACAGAATGTTGGATATGGGATTTGAGCCACAGATCAGAAAAATCATAGAACAAATTAGACCAGACAGGCAGACATTAATGTGGTCAGCTACGTGGCCTAAAGAAGTAAAAAATTTAGCCGAAGATTTTCTTAAAGATTATGCTCAAATCAATGTTGGTTCATTACAACTTTCAGCAAATCATAATATATTGCAAATAATTGATGTATGTCAGGATTATGAAAAAGAGAATAAGTGAGTATAGGAGTTTCGAGTGATTCTGGCTTGTTTAGTTATTACTAACTGTTATTAGCAATAATTAGCAGTTAATTACCGAATTAGCACTATTACTGCTAAAGAAAAAGCTATCATGTCACATTTTTATAGATTAAGTACTCTATTGAAGGAGATAATGGCAGAAAGTGAGAATAAAACTATAGTGTTTATCGAAACAAAGCGTAGAGTGGACGAAATTACGAGAAAAATGAAACGCGATGGATGGCCAGCGGTTTGTATTCACGGTGACAAGACGCAGCAAGAACGAGATTGGGTTTTACAAGGTATTACAAAAATTAAATATTTTTTACTGAGAATTTTTTTCAGTTATACAAAATTTAATGAGCGTGCAGGTATATAATCATATCTGACACATAATCACATCTTGTAGATTTCAGATCAGGCAAAGCACCAATCCTTGTTGCTACAGACGTTGCTGCTCGTGGTCTTGGTGAGTCATTCGAATTTTTCGATTATTCAACGCAACGATGTATCGTGTATTATGAATCAATTTTTCCTGCAACACGGAAAACAAACTGGTTAATATTCACGGTATTAATTTTTCCCCAAAATTATCAAATTTTTTTTCTCTTTTTTACAATGCTCTATTCTAACCGAAAATTTAACAAATCTTGACTGCAATGTAATGTTCCGTTAAAAACTGAAAGATACAAATAGTTTTCATACAAACATTTCTTAAATCGTGAGGATCTTTAAAGTATAATTTTGTGTCATATGAAGTTGGAATATATGACGTAAGTTAATAATCTTATAAAGCACCTAATGACATCAAGTTTCATATATATATACACCATGAATAATAGAAACCAAACATTTCTGTCCAAGTTTTATTATATAAGAACTAATCTTGGCTTAATTTAATTTATATTTCATTTGTTGAGTACATTATTTACAACGTTATCGATTGCACCATACAAGTTTAGATTATTTTCTATAAAACGGGACATTACAATTTTAACGCGCAGTAAGTTTAAAGTCAGCAAGAGAATGTAGGAAAGGAATAGGGCAAAAGAAAGCAAAAAAAGCATATTGAAACAGGAGGATGGTTGGAAGTACCTATACAGCTAACGCGGTTGGATCTTTGTTTGTATTGCAGAGGCACATTGCGCGCAGGCCCACGCTGGGTAATGCAAAGCATGTCGGGGGTGCCCGCCGCCGCTCTTTGTTCGGTGGTGCACTGGTTTGCATTGTCTGCGCTGGCCGCGACGCCGTGCCTCTATCCGTCCGTCCGTCCGTCCGTCAATCGCGTGTGAAGGGCCAAGTCCGGGCCAAATCGGCATCTACTACTACTACTACTTCTACTACTACTACTACTACTTTACCTACCTACCTACATACTGGATATCAGTCCTACTGCGCTGCGCTGTACGCCATCCGGGCTGGCTGGCCAGGTCGTTGTTGCCAGAATAGAGTCCCCTGCGCTGGCACGCTCAAGCTAATCAGACAACCAACAACGTTGGTCCGTTGAGGCGGTGGCATGTGATAGCAGATATGCCAGAGCCTCTCTTAGCGCGCCCTGCGCCCTGCGCCTGTAGCGACAGAGTGGCGGAGGCAGTAGCTGGAGCGAGCGCAAATAGCCAGGCCCTGCCCGTACGTTGCTAGCGAAACACTCGCCCACTGCCTAATATTTTAGTATTACATAGTTAAAATTTGATTAATTGACATATACATAAATACACATACATATACATACACAGATACACATACATACACATTACATGAATCTGTATACACGTATATATATATATATAAATCATATGCATACATATTTTATCTCTTTCGCATAATTATTACTAATTTGTGGATTACTGTAAGTAAAGTTTATCAAAACTAAGCTAATCTATCGAGTATATGTATACGTATATATACGTATATAAATGCATACATTCACAAACTATCACTTTAAACTGTATGCATTTCTCATCCTTTTTCCTTAGTCCTTGTGGTAACATCATATATCAGTCGCATTTTATCATACTGATTATTATATCATTATATGAACTTGTTACGCAACGATTCTGGTCTTTTCACTAATTAGTTGTCCTTGAAAGACGTGTAGAAAGATTTTAAACACATTTTTCATTTTTTATTTCTGAAATGTTATAAAATAAGAATATTCGTCATCACGATATTTAGGGGAGAAAGATCAGGATCGTTCTCGGTAATTAATTTGTTTTTGTTTCTTGTTCTTGTGTAAAATCTAGCATTTGTTAAAAGATAAAGAAAGAATGATATCACAAAGAAATTAAATACACAAGAAATTGCTTTTTAATAGAATTCTTTATATCAAGTATTATTATAACTGTTAATACAAAAAGAGGAGCAACGCGACATTTCAAATTATTAGCTCCTTCTAGGAGAACGTATTGAACATTATAATTTACTGCAATATATTTGATAATATTCCATTCATACTCAACTCGCGGTGTTTCACAATCCTTGCGACACACTACTACTTTCTTAACCCATGTCTGTCCTTGACGCTAGAATCCTACAAAGATCCAGGTCTAATGCCAACTCTTAATTTCAGACGTTGAAGACGTCAAGTTTGTCATCAATTTTGACTACCCCTCCTGTTCCGAGGATTACGTTCATCGTATCGGTCGTACCGGCCGCCGACAGAAGACCGGCACGGCGTACACTTTCTTCACGCCTAACAATGCCAACAAGGCTAATGATCTGATACAAGTGTTGAAGGAAGCGAATCAAGTGATAAATCCGAAGCTACTGGAGCTCGCCGATAGTAAAGCTGGTGGCTATGGCAGAAACAGAGGTATTTCTGTCAATCTAACAATTGCTCGAAGACTGCGTAAAGTTTATTCGTGTAAAGATCGATTGAATCGGGATTGGCAGGTGGAAGAAATCGATGGCGATCACGAGGCGGTGGAGGTGGATGCGGTAGCGGTCGTAATGGAAAAGAACGCAGCTATTCGCGGAGCAGAAGTCGAAGTTACAGTAGAGAACGCAACGGCCGCAGCAGTCGACGAAGCTACAGTCGTAGTTACTCGCGGAGTCGTAGTCCCATCAGCAATCGTAACGGTAAATCGCTATGCTATCCGAAGAACTGTTGATTCCGCGGACCTGATACTAACAAGAAATCATTTCTCCTCAGAAGTTATCGGCAAAAGTTATTGGAGTAGCGAGAGATGATCTTCCAGTGGCGGTTAAAAAATGTGTGTGTTGCAATGCAGGTAATTTTTTATTTTTTTTTATTTTCGAAAGAAGTGGTTGTAATAAACGAGACTGTTTCATCGATACATTCGCTATTCGCGAGAAACGACACTTCAGTGTCGAATTTGGTGGATGCACTACTATTGTAGATCATCAAACTTCTTACATATAGCAGCTTTCAATCTGCACCTCGTGTATTCCGCCGAATTTGGCAGCCTGATGATATAATTAATGTGATGATATAATCAGTGCGATGATATAATCAATAGTTTACTAACTATATATACACGAATTTTTAATGTCGTCTTCAGTAATGCTGATCATCGCTATCTTATATAAGAAAAACTTTTAACGTGAGTACACAATACTGAAGTGTACTCGAACAGAGATTTTATTATGTATTTAGCTAGTGATAGAATGGTGGAATGTGTTATTATATATCTTTTACTTCCTTTTGCATCCCCATGCCGCATCTAATTTCTTCCTTTTTAAATATTATCAATATACACCAATTTATAGATTAGGCAAATCCATTATAGCAATCGACTGTTTATACATTTTTATAATGCTTACTCTCACGTTAATTCTTATATATTCATCCGGTAGTAAGAAAGAATTAGATTGACGTGAGCGAATGATGTATAAATTATTATGTGAATTAAACTTCCAGTGTATAACAATGTTTAATTAGTACGTATATTTGTAGATTATAATAAATTATACTATATGTCTAGTACGCGCTTATTTGTAATTTATCCGTCTGTATTTTAGGCAATTATAACAAATGATAATAACACTTGATGTACAGTATTTCAACAACGTGATAAATAAATTCGTAAATGTCTACATTATTTCCTATTCTAATATCTTACGTGCATTCTGTAGAATTTATTCGACTCTCTTAAATGATTATGTTGCATCAATAATTACTTACCTGTAATGAGCTTGACGATGATATCTGTGAATTATATCACATATTTGGAAAAAGAATAATTTGTTGATACAAAAGAAAAATTTATGATCGTCGCATGCTTCGATTATCATCGCTAAAATCTTTAGGAGAATGACAACCAAAGTGACTCACGTTTAGGGTCGGTTTTTCGCCTGTGTTCTGTTTAATTTAATTTTTTGTCTTAATTACAGGTGGTAGTACTTAAAGATCTTATGGTAATTTTAGAATACCGAATTCCATTTATCCTCTCAACCCGGTGTTCTCCATGCGTCAATCTCGTTCGTTTCGCTTTGCGGATGGCCGATTTTTTACAGCCACGTGGTATTTGACGACAGGAATAATTAATACTCGACCAATATATAAGGTGTATTTAACGGTGTAATTGACGATCTAATAAGTTCACGTGGGAAGATTCCTTCTCTTCTTTTTTTTTATCGGACTATGTGCCACGATACAAATTTATTATGTTACACATCTTGGAATATCGTGCGCTTAAATGCATTCACGAATCACAAACATGCAATAATCTTTCTTACGTTCTCGAGACGCGTGCTCGCTCGAGTCGCGATTGTTCCACCGCTTTCGCCGGGGAGGACACAATCTTTACAATTATTGTGGACAACGTACAATATCCGCTCGTCGATATTTATCCGGGGCGAGCGCGATTTTTAAAGGATTAATCGAGCGACTCGATCGCAAGGATATTCTGCGCAGCGTCGACCGAAACCTCGGACTGCACCTTCGAATCACAATTAAAAGACACAGTAAATTTCCAAGGTATTTTATCAGCCATCGCATATTTCTCTTAAATTTATTATAATTCGGCAGAAAAATTTACTATGTCTGTCGATTTTAGAATGTTGGACGACTCATGTTCGAAAGGTGCGCCGTACTTCTTGGCCGAGACTGGTCGCAGATCCACTCGCTGTTCGTTCGTGATTGTAAGAAAACGACATACTATCGATGTTCTAATCGTAATGTTAACATCGAAGTACGATTTTCCCATTGGACTGTAGCCTCACGATACAACGTGTCACGGATAACGCAATTTCCTTACGGAACATACATGGATATTTGTACGTGTGTGCAACACGCGTGTAACAAGCTCCTCGCATGAATTGGGGGGGAGAGGGAGGGGTAAAGGAGGGATTTATTTTTTTTACAGGGCTCAGCATGCTTCGTTCACATATATTACAACATACGCATATAACAATAACATTAAAATCTTTTTAGATGTGTTTTCGGACGTGGGAGAGAGAGAGCTATGGCGCGCTTATAATTATGTCCGCAATACAACAGGATACTTTGTGTGCGTGCGAAGGTCATATATTCATATGTATTCATATGTGTATTAGGTCAGGTGTACGTGTCTATGGTGAGACACTGTTTTTCGGTGTGCGGATCGATCTTGCCTGGACCAAAGTGACTCCAAGCAAGTAAGTGATAAGTGGGAGGTCGAGGGTGAAAATTTTACACAGTCGTCCTTAATTTCTGGTCACCGTATCCTCCTCAGTGAATGTTACGTATATATAATATTTCCGATCTCTATTCTGAATTCTTTCATCCCTTTTCTTTAGCATTAAACCGAGATGTAAACATATAATGTTAAACTGAGGAGGACATGCGTCTGTCGGTGAGACGTATGCCTGCGCGTGCGTGCAGGAAGTTCGATGGAATCTATAATTAAATGTCAGTCAATTGTCCGCAGTCACTAAAATAGTCGTCTTGTCTTTAAGACTCTAGGAGCAACAGCTTCTTGAAGGGAAGCGAATTGATAATGGGAGACGAGACAACGCGTTGGAAGTAGTTCTCGGTTGCAAATCAAACATGCAAATCGAGTTCAATCCCCTTTTTTTTAACGTAAGCCATGAAACGCAAGTCAAACTCTTAACTCAGAAAGGAAGAAGGCTCTCGGAGAAAGATGTTTCTCCTCGCTCGTGGTGTGTCAAAGAGATCTCATGATTTTACGCGCAAAGTGATATAATCTCTCGTTCGATCGTTTTCTCCTCATGTGAGTGGAAACGAAGCGAAATATCCCGAAAAATGACACATTTGTTGAAATTGCCTTTTTCTTTTCAAGAATGCTGCGAAAAAAGATTTTGCGGATCATTTTATTAACGATTCTATGAGAGAATTCGCATCTACCCATATAGGGTTTTACAATCGATCCAGTGCTGAGCCATTACTGGTTACCACCACAGTTCAGATACTAGTGCAGTATTGGCCGTACTTATAAGTACTGGATGATGACTTGGACTCAGTACAGACCGATAAAAACTTTGGCCATCATTTAACAGCCAATCATTTGCTAGTGATGACCCAGTACTGGTTGACAGAACCTTGGCCATCAGTTGATAGTCGTAGCGTTGGCTAAGATTTGGCTTCGATTTTGTTGTAACTACTACTAGTGATCCTATATGGGTATTTAAGTCTGTTAATTTAGACCGTGTAATGCCAAGACTCGAATGAAGGTGAAGCCTTCGTTATACAGACATCTGTGCGCGGGTATGAGAGATTCGTTTAACACACCTTTACGCACCGCGATTTACTTATAGTACAACTGACGAAGCGCAGGAGAGATGCACGATCTCTATCGCTGATCTCTACGTGTAATCATTTCGCAAATACTGGCTTTGTGTCCCTTTAAATCTCTGACGTAAACACATACAGAGAGACATCTCTAAATATACAGGGTGTCGCGCCCACCCTCGGAAGTTTCGCGCAAAAGCCGGTAATACCGGGTGTTTACGCGGAAACTACGACGTGTCTACGCGTACTGTATCCAAATCACACACACACACGTAGACACGATACAGATAGGCACGGAGTAGAATACAGTGAATCAACAGGAAAATGAGAAACGAAGATGACTATTGTCTCATCCATCTATTCTACGATTCGATTATTCTGTAGATTATTGTATTGTATAATCTGATTGTAAACGCATACAGGATTGCAACAGAAAATGTATTTTAAAATTCCCTGACTTTTCCAGGTTTTCCAGATGAAAACGGAAAATTTTCCATGACTAATATAAAATATGTAAATTTTAACATTTAGACTCGAGGATTGTAGGACAGCTAATTCATATTGTTATAAATAACACAAAAAAAAAGTTAATTGCATAATAAAATTTTAGATGCAAATTCAAGTCAACAAAAACTAAATTAGTTTTGAAAAAAAATAAAATTATGACGAAAAAGAAAGATCAAGTAAAAATATATTGAATAACATATAAAATATAAATAAAAGGAGCATATAGCCACAATGCTAGATGTTTTAAACGAAACATATATTTAAATTATACTAAAGTAAAATATAAATTTTAATTATTTTATTAAAATCGTTTAAAGTGCGCAAGTTTTGAACGTATTTGACTATAAAAGTCAGATATAAAAAATTAATACAAAAAATTATAACAATTATTTGAAATAGGAGCAGTTTAAATGTGAGCAAATTTCGAAATTTCAGACTTTTTTTACATTTTCACCTGACTTTTCGTGATTTTCCATGACCTATTTCAATTTCTCTGATTTCCTAGTTTTCCAGGTCTGTGGTAACCCTGCGCATAGTGTAGATAGATGGGACGATGGTCATCTTCATTCTTCTCACATTTTTCTGTTAAATAAAGTTCATTGTTATTATTAATACATGAAACAATTAGCATAGACTGAAGAGTTTCTTCCGATTATTGCTAACATCACGTGATAATACTGCACAGTTATTTTTATTGATTTCGTCTATTTGGATTACAATTGGTTTGGATACTTTACGCGCAACTGTAAATCATTCCCGATTCTATGTGTACATCCGAATCTACACTGTGTCGGCTCTCTTTTCGTGCTGGGATTGCTTGAAGCGAGAGTTGGAGAACTTGATGATGTTATGAGTCGAGAGATTACAATATGCACTTGTTTAATTTTATCCAATTTTACCAATGTTAAATTTCTAGGAAAATGATAATCGGCATCACCGAAATGTATTATTACTTTATAGTGAAAAAATAGTCTTCTCATACAAATGTTAAAGAAAAACAGATCCGTGAATGTATCTCGATTGCCGGGATTATTCGAATAAAAAATAATTTTCGCTCGCTAACAACTTTTCATCCTTTAGGAATTTAAAGAAGTCTATCTAAACGATACTCGAATAATCTCGCATGTGAATTGTGACGTAAATATAAACTCGTTGTCTCTCGCTTGAGGGTAGCGTCTCCCGTCGTGTTTCAAAAAATAAAATCGTCCGCACTTCTTTTTTTTTTCTTTGCTTTTTCATTTTTCTCTTTTTTTTTCTCTTTTTGTGAACACGTTCTGCGTGTCTTCGTCGTCTCGTTCCATCCGCGAGGTCGACGACACCGCAGCTCTTCGACGGACAGGTCGACGGATAGATTTCCAGGCGCGGCGACGCCGATCTCTTCTGAGCAATATACGTGGGACAGCCCCGTGCCGCATCGCCGGGAATCCTCCCTGAACGAACCTCGACCGAGGCAGCGGAAACAGGAAATACGTTGATGCGTGGTATGCGTGCGACGCGACCGTTTCGCCGATACTTCGTATCGCGAGCCTGCGATCGCTCTCGGCTCGCACCCGCGTCTGCGTCAATCTTCATCCGGGCTCCGGATTATCCTCGCGAGAAAACTGCGCTGAATTTATCTCCTTTGTTCGCTCACTGTTTCCTTTTAAATTTGTTTCAAAAGCTTCGAATCTTCAAAAATGCAAGTGTGACCGTAGTGGCGTAAAGAGTCCTGCTTTTTGTGCCAAAGGATTCAAATCCATCCAGAACATATTGATACCCACTACGAAGAGTAGCATGTTTCATTTGAAAAACCTACGAAAAACTTCACTCATGACGTCGTTGCGCCGAAGAACGTTATGTTTCCATTTTCGTCACGAAAATCAATACATTTGAGTTTTGACTTTCGAAAAGTAGCACATTTCATTTTATAATATGTTTGAATAATAATATGTTTGAGCGTTTTGTGACGAAAAGTAGTATGTTTCTTTTTACATCACGAAAACTAATACGTTTAATTGCCTTTAGTCGCGAAAACTAATATGTTTGATGGTTTGACTGCGAAAAGTAGTCTGTTTCACTTTATACTACGAAAAATAATATAGCTGTGGACTATCCTTCGAGAATTTTGATGACTGTCAAAAGTTAGAAGTAGAAATACTCATATCAGTGATTTTATTTTTGGTTCCAAATAGTAAAATGAATACTCCATTGTTATTGTTGCTTTTTAGTTGTATAATTTTATTTTTAGTCCACGTTTTTACAATCTTAATTAATTAATCCTATTTATTTATCTTATTTATTTATCTTTTATCTTATTTTTTTTATGTGATATATTATATCAGATGATTTTATTTGATCGTTATCTCTCGGAAAGAATAACAAACCATCTAGAACATATCTTCCAATGGTAAAATAATCTACGGCGTTAAATATGATGAATCCATAATTATTTAAATTAATTTTAGATAATGTTCTAATTTTAGATAATATATATAGATTCATTATTCAAACTGTAGGTCCCGTATGCTTGTGGCAATTGAATAATCAGCACGCGTACCATAAGCATATGAGAGAGGTGTAAGAAGAAGATTCATTACATTTAGCGTCGTAGATTTTTTTGCTACATTAAATTTAAACTATAACATTGACTATTTTAACTATTTTGAAAATAAATTTATCATTGGCAAAGATATTTTTGGTTTGCCATTGACTTCCCCCCGAGAAGTAACGATCGAATAAGATTATTTGATATGTGTTCTAGGGAAATTCAAATCTCCTTTTTTACACAGAATAGACGCGCAACTCTTTACCACGATGGTTACATCTGTACTTTTGAAGACTCAAAATTTTTTGAACAAATTTAGAAAGAAATTCACCGATAACTTATATTAAATGTTTCGGCGAGCGTTGGCTCATTTTCTTCGCAAAAAGAATAGCTGCCCGGATAAGGACTGAGCCTAGCGATACCAATAAGACATCTGATGGTATATTATCAGTGGTAGAAGAGCAGGGGGATACACTTCTCTAAAATCCACCGACATAATTAAATTACAACGTGAGTCCTCTTATCTCTCCAATTTCCGCGACAGCTATCTAACACTGTCCTTTTAAATTAGGATATATATATATATATATATATATATATATATATATAATATGGGGTAAATAAAAAAATATGATAATTCAAACACGAGCTTTCGAGGCTTCGGTCTGCGTCACTTGGTACCGCTAGGTTTGATAAACCTGCCAGATACCAACAGATTATTTTATACACCCGAAAGATCATCGAACGTTCGACACCTTTCTAGACACATAACTTTCAATATTTTTTTTCCCAGCGTCGAACATTCTGCAGCCGATCCTCGTGTGCACCTTATACAGAAATATCATTCCTTGAGGAAGGATAACACACGACGCAGCGAGTCAACGCCGATCATTTCATATTCTTGAAACTCAATGATGAAAAACGTCTCGTGTACTTATTGAGATAATTGTCGTTTCACGTGGAAAACTGAAGCGAACCGCGTTGTCTCGACGTGCCGTGTATTATCTCACCGTTATCTCAACTTACGGTAATATTTAATGGATCCGACGAACTATCCGACGTTAATTTCGCAGTGACGGATACGTTCGCGATCCAAAGCGCGCGATCTCGCGCAACGTAGATATATTTATTCTTATAAATTTTACGCCTCTTTTTTTCTTTCATTGTTAACAGGCCGTGGCTATACAGGGCCCTCTACGCTTTCAATTCAGTCTGTGGCACGCGGTCTTCCGAGCAGATTTGCATACATGAACGCATACGTATTATGTCTATGTGTGCGCGAACGTATGCGTATGTGTGTGTGTATGTGTGTGTATATGAGCTATAGTACGCAATTAAGATGTTATATTTCGTCCTCATCATTTCGACCGTCGCGAAATGTGTACTGAACATCGCTAACATCCTCGTTGCTTTAGATGATCCTCGTCCTGGAGTATTTTTGTTTCGGGCGCGAACAGTGAAGATTTATCTCCATGTCGAAGTGCCTCCGGTCGGTCCTCGTCGAGCAAACTTAGTCTGATTTGCAAAATATCGTTGTTATTAATGTATCTTATAATCAGAGCTCGTAAAAGGTTTGCCTCGGTGTTTTTTCAACGATTTATCCGACTTGACGAATCGCACTCGGCTTGGTTTCGTACACATGATTTTATATATCCTTCTTCACTTTTCCATACCAACATTGTCACCTTCATGACCCGTGTAAATACACCAGTACAAGACGTTGAAGAGAATGAACATGAATGGGAAGGCATAGCGCGCAATGTAGTCGATTCTCGCGCTGCCTCGGGCATCATCCGGATATCCACATAAAAGCAATTTCCTCAGCCAGTAGCGCGTTTTCGACGACACCGTAGCCGACATGGGCAGCGGTGTCGTGGACGAAATCGGTACCGCGATCGGCGGCGAAGGTGTTGCGGCACGCAACGGCGTATCCAGAGGCGACGCTGAGGATGCTGGCGAAGGCCATCGCGACGGCGACGACCTCGCCGAGCTCCTATGCGAGTGATGTCGCGTTGCTTTCATCGGCGAACATCGGCCGGCGACGCAATCTTCGTCGTTCAGCAGCGAGAAAGTCGGCGATGGCGAACGATTCGGATGATAACGCTGATGACGATGTAACTGATGATGGTGGTGGTGCTGCTGCTGCTGATGATGATGGTCCTGTTGATACGTACGCGGCAGCGAATGATGTTGTGTCATCGACGGATTACTGCCGTGAGTCTGCTGTTGCTGTATATAAAAATGACTGTGATGACGGGGAGGATCATGATGATGGTGATTCTGAGGTGAATGGTGATGATGATGATGATGATGACGATTATGAGGCTGATGATACAGTTGTCGTTGACGAGGACGTGAACGTTGTTGCGGCGGTCGTGTCTGTTGGAACTGTTGTTGCTGAGGATGGCCGCGAGCCACTTCCCTTGTTGATCCGAGCGCCTTCCCCTCGAGATTTATTCTTGCCCCTCGTCCTCCCGAAACAGGTACGTGGACCAATACGCGAGGTTGAAGAAAGCGAATACGATTGGGAAGAAGATCCGTGAAATGACGTCGATGCGCTTGGACCTCGTCGGGAACTTGGACAGCCACGACCTGCAGCAGTTTTTTTTCCGTGGTTGCATATGTATTTCGCACTGCTGCAATTTATCCATCGACATGGAATCCTCCGGGTGTCGGACCAGAGGCTTCTGAAAGAATTCGGGTGGTATTGAACCATTAATTTCTCGTACTCTTGGCTCCTTAATTCAAACTATTTCGATTCTAATCGAAAGAATCTCGACCCTCTTCTTTTTGCTGCATAAAAGAATCTCATTCTCATCTAGAAGAAGCGTCTAGAAAAATCCTTATCTCTTCCTTTGATGCATACAAATTCAGATTTTTCAATTTTGCAATTCTTTATAACGAATAAAAAATAATATAATGCTATCCCGGTTGAGACAATATTTTTCGCAATAAATTTTTCACAGTTTATGATTCTCGTTAACATCTAGATTATTAATATTCTTATAAAGATGCTTATTAGCATTAAAAATGATTAAATTGCTTGTCAATTTAATAAGTGATATTAGTACTCTGTTTCTGCTCATGATTGCATTTCAAGACTGGAAAAGATTTCAGCGAGCAGAATCAAATACGTAAATAAATTCACATAGAAATATGAGCACTAAGATCCGCTTTGACTGAAATAGGATTTTTCTTGTTTAATTAGAGTTGCTATGATGTTGCCGCAACACGTTCACGTCCTCGTCAACCAAAACGTTTGCGAAAGTTTCCGGAAAAGCTCGAGGAGAAGAAAACAGCTATGTCGGAAGTATCTTGAGCGCGTGCATGGAGATGCTCGAGGAACGTCATGCCTTGTTGGTATACTAACCATAGCGAAGTTGGCGGATCCATCCGGCTCGAGCAATTCCGAAGACGGATCAATCGACGACGAATGTTCCATCTCGTTCTGTGGAAACTGCTTCTTTATGTTGTCGCTGTGCATGTCGCTACGCGACGCGTAGTTGACCAGCGCGAATTCAAGTAGTGCACCGAACACGAAGGTCAAGCACACTCCTGTCCAAACGTCGATAGCCTTCGTGTAGGAGACCGGTGGCAGTGAGGCGTTTATCCCCGATGTCTGTGTGGCCATTGTCAGCAGTGTCGTAACGCCTGGACGGGAGAAGACCGACAGACTTTTTGTAGATTTTTGCAATTAATCTTGTGAGATGATTCAATAAACGCGAGTAAAAAAATAAATAAAATAGACGAGCGTCTATAAAAGTGTATTTTCCTTTCTTTTTTTTTCTTTACACAAGATCATTAATCATTACATTAACTTGTCTTTAAATAATTCATTTCAATGTGTACATTGCAGCTCTTCGTATTTGACGTTAAAATTGATTTAAAAATAAATTCAATCATTCAATCAATATCTGCAATTCTATTCGTTCTTTTAATAGTAATATTGATTTTTCTTGTTTCTGGATATAAATTTAAACACATTTAGAGTGTTTATTTTAATCTCTGTCGCGTGGCGACCACGTTTCGCTTCTCGTTACGATTATTTATGGCTGCGTTCAGCGGAAAAATCTTTGCAACTGTATTGGAAGATTCTTTAATACGATTGGTTCATACATTTAGATCCAGTGAAGAACTAAGAGCGAGAACAATCAAATTAAAGAATTTTATAACAATTGCAAAGCTATTTTCTTCCGCAGCCTACGACATAGAAAGTTATCTTTGCAGTATTAATAAATTTGCTATGCTGCAACAACAAATACGATTATCCATAATCGCTAATTTTATTCAACTATACTTTGCTAATTTAACATAGAAAAATAGCTATTCGTACATTACGATTGTAAATTCGCTGAATCAGTGAAATTTTTAATTATTTTAACAAATCTTTTTTTTTTTTCTTTGTTACGTGAATTATAACTCTGAATTATAACATCGCTTTGCGCCTAGATAATAATTTATACCTAGTGACACCCGAGCAGGCACGGCGCTCTGATCCAGCCAGAAAGACACCCAGGACACGATAACGAGCATACAGCATGGGATGTAGATTTGAATGAGATAGTAACTGAACTCTCTCTTGAAGAGCAGATCCACTTTCAAGCAACTGTACTCTCCTGTTTTTTTTTATTTCACCGTTAGAATCGTTATATGAGTTCATCATGTTTTTTCTTCTCAACGCAAGTTCTCCACTTACCGGTGTTCGTCTTGCTATTGCAGTAGTCCGTAAGGAATTTCTCGAGGGTGAACCTGGGTAGGTGTAAATTCTTAACCACTTGAACGGGGTCGCCTTCCTTCCAGAGAAAGACCAAATCGTCCGTCGTCCATCCGTCTATCGGGACGGACGAAGACGGTTATTATTGGACGAATGATTAACTTCGATAATGTTTAACGAAAAAATATTTGCCGCGGAGTTGTTAATCTAGCTAAACTGGGACGGAAAACGAAGTCTACCGAGTCGTCGAAATTACTTACAACTCGCCATACGAAGTGAGCAAGTCTGTCGATCCAGGGGATACAGTTTCAAATTCATGGGACACGAAAGCGTCAAGGATATCCTGCGTCAGGGAAAGAAAAATAAGGATGGTTTATATTTAATGCCTGTGGAAGTAAGAATCCAATTCGCAATGGTTACACAAACGCGCTTGTGTTTCGTCATCCGGCACGATACGCAAGATATGGATCTCCGATGTGTACTTTAGCGAAAAGAATTTTGCAACATTTGATTATCACGAGGATGAAATGCGAGTGTAATGAATAATAAATTCCCGTCTAGATACGTATTGAACGATTTTAATTTGGATTTCGTACAAGCATCCTCAAACAAAATTCGCAGAGGAGAGAAAAAAAAAAGAAGAAAAAAAAAACGATATCAATAATCCTTCGTGAAAAATTGCGCAATCTCGCTGATTAAGCTGACTCTGCATTCGCCGCACATTGATTACATCCATAACGCTGTGTACTCACCGTATACTATAAAGAACCGAGCCATGCGGGAAAATTCGTATGTATACGTTCGGCATAATGATGTTGTGGAAGTGACCCTCCTTCTCGTTCGAGAAGAACAAATCTGGCATCCAGACGCGGCTAGCCTCCGTCAGGGTTAAATATTTAAGTTTACCTGCAATGTTCAAGAGAGAACAGTGGATACACCCGTGAAAAATAGGCGTACGTTAACGAATACGGTATCGCTCGTTAGCGTTCATTCAGTAAGCAGAAAGCGCGAATATCAGCGGCAATTTGCAAAAGGGTTGATAAAAATAGCCGCTATTAAATTTGCGTAACGACCAGCGCGAGCGAATAAAATGTTACGACTCGCCCTTTGAGGCACGATATAATTGCAATATGAAAAAAAAAAAGTGTAGGTATAAACGCTCTTTGTGCGTCCGAACTTTTCCCGTTTGACCGCAAAATATCGCGTTTGTGTGATGTTACTCCATGAAGATACTTTGGCATTTATGGAAAATAAAAGAAGGATGAACTTTGATCGGATTTTTTCATTTTTTCCATATTGCAACCTGTGCAGTTACGGGGAATATATTTCACCTTTAAAATTATTATTCTTATATTATTCTTGTATGTGACACGGCATTGTACACGCATTGCATGACTGTTATATTATTATTGCTCCCGTTTTATCGCATCGTGACTTTTATCAGCGTCGAAACATCAATACCGGAAGCGTAGAAATTTCAAACTGAAAATCAGTTATAAAATACTATTATGAACTTTACGTACCTCCGAAGTCATTAAACCGTAATCTCTCATCCAACCATTGTTCCCGAAATGTTAATTGTACGGAGTATTCCTGGAGAGAAGAAGAATAAATACGATTAAACAGCGTCGCGCGTTATGGCAGCGAGTAATGTAAAGAATTATTCTTTTCTCTTCTTAGTAAGCGATAGTCTTTCTAATTATTAAGTTTCGTAAGAAACATAAAGAAACGTGCGTAACGAAATAAACAGTAACAGAAGTCTAAATTCATCTCGAATCAAATAGTATTTATAATAGTATTTATAGCAGTGAAGTCTTTGTGAAGAGAACGAAGAAAATAGCTTCGCGTAAATGATAACTCCGCATTTAATGAAGAGTTTTAATTATAATTACAATTGTATTTTTAATTCAATAATGATCAGTTCCCGAGAACGAATACCGGTATAATATTTCAATGCGACAAGTAAAATCTAATAAAACATAAAAGAAAGTTGAATTAAAAAAAAATGTAATCTTTTTCTTTCCTCTTTATATATAGATGTATATTATTCGATAAAAATCTCGCACCTATAAAAAGCAATTATTCAAACACCTCGTAACACAAAGAGAATTTCTTTCTATCTATAGATAATATTATCGCCACTCTGGAACGTGCAACGCCAAACTGGTTGTCAATATTCTTACCATAAAAAAAAAGTGATCACACAGATATGGATTTCAATTTTACGTTAAGAGCTGTATTCTCGTATAGGTCGAATATTTTGACATCGTTTTAGCTTTCATTTAATTTTTCTCAAAAAAAGAAGCACTAAGTCTGATATCATATCACGCGAATTATATTTTGCGTCGCATAATAAAATGATCAAATTACAGCGAGATATAAAAATTAATGTAAATAATGTTTCAGAAAGAGATTTTAATCACAGTAGATTAACGAGGTCAGTAACATTCGTGCCTATTGATCCATATCTGCGACATTAATCTGCCTTGGCGTAATCGCGCATGTCGATAAGTTAACTCGTCACGGATCGAACTGATGCATTTAGGTGGAAGGACGTCATTTCATCAAGTTGCACCTGAGCGACGTACAACACGCGTCAATCCGTGACGACTATCTATCACTTGGTAATGTGTGTGTCGAGAAATATGGAACAGAAGACCGGAGATGTTATATATCGGTAGCGGTGGGAAAAGCGTCCCGGGAAGACGAAAATTCCCGGATCGAAATGAATTATTAAAACGTATCCGGGGACGTTTTTCCGCGGTAAAGCGATCATGCGACTCGAGGGCGTTACAAGCATCGACGGGACATCAATGTAGCCGATCTGTCGTCAAATGCTCCGAATAACACTGGCGCAGCCAAGGAAATGGGGGGCGGTGGGGTCAATAAGGGCCATGCAAAAGCGAACACCGAGGACCTACCAGATGTAATCAGATCAAATGCCAGAAATGTCTCGGGCATCTATTGCGCAATCTGTTAGCGGTATAAAAGAGAAACGCATGCAGTTTCGCTCACGGTGTTCTCGTGTTCTCCAGCTCGCCTGCGACCATTTCTGCGCCGGCGTGCGAAGTCCTGTGTGCCCTGTTTCCTATTTCAGAAGGGGGTAAAAGGGAGTGCTCTCGCAAATACACATTTCTTTTCCTTTCTATTTTTTCTTTTCTTTTAAATACTTTCTTCCTTCCTCCTTGTTTCCCTCGACCTACCGACCGCCAATTTTCGTCTATCCTCCACGCTCGGTGCAGTGCAGTTTCACTCTACAAATGTTTTTTAACGTGAAAAACCATCCCGTTGGCCCTTCTCCTTTTTTTTTTATCTAACTTCTTTTTCCCTGTCGGCTTGCGGTATTAGTTTTCACTTTAAAGTGTGCCAGAGCTCACACTCGTGTGTGTTTCGCTCTTCTTCGCTTTCCTCCGCTTCTAACTCGTCCGATGGTTTTGTTCCGTCGTTAACTTTTTAGCGACTCGGCCGTATTCGCACGCATCTAATATCGGCGGAAAGTTTCTGAAAAATTGAGGAACATACCGCCAAACGAGGATTTACCGGTCACTCTCTTTTCAAGCTTTCGTTCGTTCTATTTTTCCTTTTCTTTAATTTTTTTTCTTTTCCACAACCCGCGGTGTTTTTTTTTTCTAGTATAATACATCACTCACAAAGAAATAAAATACGCTAAACACGTTTGCGTGGATGCCCGTTTGTACTTCAAGGTACTTATTCCTTCCCGTGTAACACGAACGACGAGCTTTCCTTGGGACAGGTATCGTGTGCAATACTACCGCGATTATACGACATGCACTCGCGATTTTCGCATCTCTCGAGATAAAAGCGATTGTCGCTTTTGTATCCGTACGTATGAGAAATATATCTTGTGCGCATAAAACGACGTTATGGAGATTTGTCTATCGTGTGTCGGAGGAAGATTTCGACGAACGGGAAATCGAGTTGTTTCTTTCAAATGTATGCACCTTGCACAAAAATTCTATGACACCGACTGAAGAAATTGCCATTGGCGGGGAGACTTTTTCACACTCGATTTGATTAAAGTGGAGGATAGAAATTACTAGTAAATCATCGCAATGTTCTTGCGGTAACATCTTCGTGGAAACCTAAATCGCCTTTCTAAGCCAACTGCTTGAATCATAAATTGTACGAAACGAAATAAATATATGCGATCATTAGAGAATTGATATATATATATTTTTTGCAACCTATTAAACATTTTTTTAAATAATATTATGTCATATATATATATATATATATACGTGGAATAACGAATAATCGAATGTGTCGTATCATCGAGCGTACTTACGATGATGACGTGAAATTATATATAATAAATACCAATAGCACAGCGACAACACGTCGAGGGGGATTTCATACATAATCCTGACGCATAAGATCTAGCACACAGTAAAATATCTCAATTTTATGCTACACAATGACAAATGCAAAGCATCCAAAAAATCATCAAAGTGTTCTATATATATATATTTAAAAAAAGGGAAGAGAAAAATGGGGAGGGTAACCGCAATGCAGCCCTCGAATTTACGTCGAAGAGAAACGATCCTGCCGATCCTGCGACCGTAAGATAAAGATAAAGACAGCCTCCGATATTTCAGGCTACCGTTGCAGGCTACCGGAAGCTGTTGCGCGCGGTAACAGCTGGCTCGTAATTTTTCCCTGGCTCTTACCTTTTAACGAACGACAGTCATCGCTATCTCTACCTTTCTTACGGGCAAAATTCTCGAGTTACGCGCGCTCAGGGCGATATATTTGCCGTTTAAGCCGGCCGCTCGACGAAATGAGTGCTCCTTTTTCTCGCGAGGTCCGTAATTAACGCGGAAACGGCGATTTGTTACTGTCCCTCCCACTCCCCACCCCCCCTCCCATCTTCCCTTGGGAAATCGCACGAGATATTTAAACGTGTCTGGAGTGCAGATGCACTTACACGGGTAGAGAAGCACAACTCGATTATCGCGAGGCGACAAAAGGTTAATTGGTCGAGTCGAGTCTCTCTCGATCCCCCTTGCGAAACGGGTCGTTTTTAGCGAGTAAGAAAGTATTATATATTGTCACTCTGTTGTTCCGGCAATTGTCCTGATGGCAATGGGATAGTGGGATGTGTCGCGAAAAATAACGCTCGCGAACCCTCTATGGACCGTGTCATTATTGCTCTGACTTTTATCTCTTTTCGACTCGCTATCCGAGAAAAGAACGGCGTAATATTTAATAGTTGTTATTAAAGTTGATCTCTCTCATTTTTTTATATTGTTACAATGTAATTCTATAATTAACTCGATGATTATGAATGTCAAGAATGAATCGCGGAAGGGAAACATTGAAATATAAAAAATACATTATTGCTAGGTGAAAGATAAGATGGGATATACATTATATATATATATATGTATGTAAAGACATATATATGGCCGGAAAGAAAATTCAATTAAAGTTAAAAGTTTTCACATCACGTCCTTCACACAAATTTGCTCTACTAATTTCCTTGATCACATCGGAGAAGCTCCCTTCGGGATTTTTAACTTCAATCGGGACTTCCGACTCGCCGTCGTCAGGCATTGTTTCGAAGTTTTGTGTAGGTCACAGAGGGTTCCACGAGATTTCGGAGCCAATACTGCCAATCAGCTTGCTCGGCGATTCGTCCGTATTCCGTTTTCCTCGCCGATGAGCAGCCTCACGTGTTAAATTTTGTTTCGCAGCGTCTACAATGAGATTTTAAAGCGTAGAACTTCAGCTTTAAATCCTGAGCCATAAGAAACTGACCAATCATAGCCAATTGTTCTTTTCACTTGACCGATATTAATTTCTTATGACTTAAAATTTAAAACTTAAGATCTTGAGACGTAAAATTTGAGATTTATGCCTTAAATCGTAAGAAATTGACCATTCATAGTTAGTTCTTATAATCAAGATCGTCTTAAGTTCTTGAATGTGTCACGAACCAATCAAAGAGCCATATTAGCGTTTTAAAACATTATTTAAGACGGTCTTGAGATAAGAATCGACTATGAAAGTACCGGCCGTAGTCGATTATTCTTCTCACACTCGATTGACTGGTCAATTTCTTATAGCTTTTAAGGCTCAAGCTTGAGTTTTACGCCCTAAAATCTCACTGTAAGCGCCACTTAAACGATGCGCATATACAATGCGCTTTCTTCGTGCGCTCTTTACGGAGAACGGGTTACGATCTTCCGTCTTGACGCGCTTATATCCTCGTCTCGCCATTACCGTCTCCGATATATTCGCTCGCAATGAAAATTCTAACAGCCGCATTATTCCCACGCGAATTTCCTTCCCATCCCTCTTGGATTTATTTCTAAGCGCAATGATGTGCTCATTCAGTCGACAAATATTTGTCAGGATAAGCGATGCCGAACGTATCCGTACTTATGAGAACGTGATACAGAATGAAAGAAATAAAGGAGACAGAAAAAGAGGGAGGAAGGGGGGGAGAGAGAGAGAGAGAGAGAGAGAGAGAGAGAGAGAGAGAGAGAAGCGAAAGAAGAAGACGAAAAAAGACGACAAAAAGGGACGATTCTTGCAGGGCCTAAAATTGAACAACCGATTTTTTTTCTTGC